TTACTAGTGTCGTTTACAGATTTTTTCTACTGCACTTTTAAAAAATAATGCCACTGGAATATATTATGTGCAAATACGTTTCAGCTTACCTTCAAGTATTTCCTTACTCTCATCAGTCATCTTGGAAATTCTCAGCATTCACTCCTCTGTATACTTTATGGGTGTAATTCAGCGCTGGATTAATCACTAAGTTAAGAACACCAAAGGAGGGAGAAACGCCGAAGGAGCACAATTGGGTGGGCGGAAGGGGGCTTCATTTAAAGGATTGAAGGTGCTCCATTAGAAGGGTGAACCACTTCTATTAAAAGAGGGCGATTTTAAAGGCCGATAGGCACTATTGGAAGTGCCACCGTCAGAAGGTCCAAAGGAGAAGCATTGGAGGGGCCAGGGAGCACTTTCAGAAAGGGAGGGATTAAAGGGCAAACTTGATAGGGATTAAGGGAGCAATATTTAAAGGGCTGAAGATGCACAGTTATAAGGGCCGAAGGGGCACCTATGGAAGGGCTAATAGAGCGCACTTAGTAGGGCCAAGAGCTGATAATATACGTTTAGAAAGTCTTGGGAGTATCATTGTAAAGGACGAAATGACACCTTTAGAAGGACTAGAAAGACACAAATGAAAGAGTAGAATGTGAAAATGACATCACTAAACAGGCATTGAGCAACGTTGAAAGTGCCGGGACACAATGCAAGGCCACAGAGGAAACACTGGTAAGGCCAAGGGGACGCCACTGAAATGCCGTATTATCATTACCGAAGCGATAGTTTTGGAAGGTTCGATGATCATAAAGGGTTTAAGAGGTACTACATCATTAGATTAGCTTATAAGGCACCCTGAAGTGATACCATTGGAAGGGCAAAAGAATAATACTGAAATGGCAGACCGTGGGGACGGCCGGATATGTACCATTATTAGGTTGTGCTTAGAGTATTGGTTCCCAACCTGTGTCACGGTAAAATACATTGATGGATCACTCATATTAGGTTAGGCAATGCAACCTATAATTAATTTTAAATCTGAAATCACCTGATATATGTTATTACGACCGTTCCGATACTTAAGCTTCTTTTTATCAGTATGATATATAATGGTATCAGGTCTATTTACTTCGCATGCACACACATACACACACACACACATCTATGCATATATATATATATATATATATATATATATATATATATATATATATATATATATATATGTATGTATATATATATATACATACATATATATATATATATATATATATATATATATATATATATATATATATGTATATATATATATACATACATATATATATATATATATATATATATATATATACATATATATATATATATATATATATATATATATATATGTATGTATATATATATATATATATATATATATATATATATATATATATATATATAATACTGTATATTGTCTGTGTATGTGTATTGTAACATCCTTATTGTAAAAAGGGTATGAATCTAACGCCTCGGTACTCTGTGATTTGATTGTGGTATCAAAATGCCAGATAACTAGCCAATTTATCAAAATTGCCCGACCCGATGAATATTCATGCATATACACAAAAATAAACGCATACCTATCGGTCAAGTTGTTCACCAACATACATAGGTCTACACGTGTTAATTTGTGTCTGTTTATGTCCATATGTATGAATACTCACTAGGTCACAATTTTAACAAACTGGTCTATGGTCATTCATTTTCTTCAGTTTGATCATTACAAATACCAACTTTATCTTATTGTTTAAACTTTGATTGTGTAAAATTACCCTTGAAATAAATTTTAAAATTTGTCAGAAATTACAGAAATCGCCCACTTCGTACTACTTACTACACTTACCAGAGAAAGTAAAATTTTAATACGTAAATAAATAAAATATCAAATATCAAAAATGAGTAACAATGTTTTCCTTTTAAGATCATTAGTTTATGTCGTACTCCGGGTCTTAGCAGTGCCATAAATCTGTACATTACAAAAAGTCATATTGGCAGCTCAAAAGAATGGCTACTATACAGTGGAAATTTAAGAAAGAGCACCTATACCAGGTGTTACACAGTTATAGATACGTATACACATTCTGGTTTGTTGATATCACCTTCAGGCATGCCTCGCCTAAAAATGATATCAGTTTTCAAGAATGTGCAATTCATAAATATAGTTGATAAAAGAATACTTGGTTGAACCAATCTGATTATAATTTTGCAATAATTGATAAATTGGGAATCTATGAATAAGCTTAGTCTCCTACAACCATTATATAACCACTGCACAACTCGCAGCAGCAGACTACATTCCACGTCGTACCTCATTTCCCATGCTCTTTGCTTTGATTTCCTGCTCTGCCAGGCTTTGAGTTTGCTTTGCTTGTATAGTGTTGCCCTGTAAACTTTGCTACACTGTACTAATCAGAGCCGATCAGATACTTCCGTTTGTAAGTCTTGGCCAATATCTGTAGAGAACTAAAACCACAGACATTTTCAATTCTAGAGGTCGCTTGTGATGCCGATGAGAGAGAAAAAAAAACTTTGTCTAAAATTAGGGGAAAATGTCTCAAATTAGAGAGTGGTTTTCTCAAACTGATATTATATCAGTTTTTAAAATTATTAAAAGGGGCCCGTGAAACATTTAGACTGAGCTAGGGGCTCCTACGTCCAAAGCACCTCCATTGGCCAGACAAACACACCGGCGCAAGAAGTACAGGACAAGAAAGAAAACTGTAAGGCGGACACATATAATTATTTCCGTGCACGTAGGTCCGCATGTTAGCATAGTGAATTTACATCCCAAACACGCGACCCGCCGCACTCTTATGTGCGACACGCGACACATTGGCTATTTCAGTTTTACAGTCGGCCGTTTTGCAGTCAGTTCTTCCTTTTAAACAAAAATATATCGCTTACACTCTTACTGTTTTTTTTTTTTTTTTTTTTTTTTTTTTTTTGTGATGAAGAAAATTGCCTCCTACGTTTTTATGTCAACGATATGGCCGTCTCGTCGCGTCGACTCACTGAATACGAAGGTGAAATATGGCTCCTTGGGAAAATGAGTTCGACAGCCATAATCTATGGTGGCTGGTTGTGGTGGTGGTGGTGGTGGTGGTGGTGGTGTGTGTGTGTGTGTGTGTGTGTATGTATACATCTTTGAGTGTGTGTGTGTGTGTGTGTGTATGCGTGCGCTTGTGTGTGTGTATGTATACATATTTGAGTGTGTGTGTGTGCGCGCGCTTGTGTGTGTGTGTATGTATACATCTTTGAGTGTGAGTGTGTGTGTGTGTGTGTGTGTGTGTATGTGTGTGTGTGCACTTGTGTATGTATACATCTTTGAGTGTGTGTGTGTGTGTGTGTGTATGTGTGCGCTTGTGTGTGTATGTATACATATTTGAGTGTGTGTGTGTGTGTGTGTGTGTGTGTGTGTGTATGTGTGTGTGTGTGTGTGTGTGCGCGCTTGTGTGTGTGTGTGTATGTATACATCTTTGAGTGTGAGTGTGTGTGTGTGTGTGTGTGTGTGTGTGTGCGCGCGCGCTTGTGTGTGTGTATGTATACAGGGCTGTCGGGAAGGCAGCATTGCAGGGGGGGTGTAATGTTTCAAATTTGCCGACAAAAGGCGTGGTCATTAGAACTTGCCATGTCTCATTACGACACAATTCATTTCCGTAACTATCAAGCTCAACTATCAAGAAAAAATGCAGGTTTAAGGTTTCATTTGCCGACAGATGCTTTTTTTCAGGGGGGGGGCGTAACCCCCGCCCCCCGTCGCGACGGCCCTGTACGTATATGTGTGCGCGCGCTTGTGTGTGTGTATGTATACATCTTTGAGTGTGTGTGTGTGCGCTTGTGTGTGTGTATGTATACATCTTTGAGTGTGTGTGTGCTTGTGTGTGTGTATGTATACATCTTTGAATGTGTGTGTGTGTGCGCGCGCGCTTGTGTGTGTGTATGTATACATCTTTGAGTGTGTGTGTGTATGTGCGCGCGCGCTTGTGTGTGTGTATGTATACATCTTTGAGTGTGTGTGTGTGTGTGTGCGCGCGCGCTTGTGTGTGTGTATGTATACATCTTTGAGTGTGTGTGTGTGTGTGTGTGTGTGTGTGTGTGTGTGTGTGTGTGTGTGTGTGTGTGTGTGTGTGTGTGTGTGTGTGTGTGCATTAACATAGTACATATTTTAATTGGTATGTACACACATACTGTGACGTACATACAAATCAAGTATCGGGAAAAAATTGAAGCCGATGTTATTCGTGCAACTGATCCATTAATGTGTCCTGATTCTGAAATTAAGAGTGTCCGTATTATTTATGGTTTTGTAGTTTGATAGGTTGGTCCAGTAGTTAGCAATGAATATGATTTTCGTCAAACCCTCGAAAGGTAAGGAATTTCGTGTTTACGTGATATCATTTCTAATGTAGCCATTATCTTATCTTCTCTCCTGATACTAGATGTTAAAGAATACATAATACTCTTTTTTAATATATGCATTTTACGAAATAATTGAAAAACGGCAGAGTAATATATGTAAACCATGCATCACTAGTGAAGTGCACGCATTCTTTTCTTTCGAAACTGCTGAATAGTTAATCATCATGCTGAAACTACACCTTCCACCTGTTATACAATCCCCACCTCGACCAAAAGGTTACAGGAGGGAATTTTGCAAGTCATAGTTATATCCTCTTTTCATGAAAGGGAAATATCAAAAAGAACATCACGTAACGCAAGGAAAAACATTCTTTTCAGATAAAACTAAGATTCAAATTAATTTTAAACTTCTTTAGATATAGAAATCATCGTAAAGGCAAATAGCAGAAGCTAATAAAATTAGATAAAGAATACAGGGAAGTACAGTTACTTGGGAAAAAAACATGTCAAGACCTTTTCCAAATGATTCCCGAATTCTCAACATGAAAAAATAAACATCATTTTGAAAAAAATAAAGAAATAACAAAGCAAGAGAGAACAAATGACCTGGGAGTAGAAACAGGAAATTGGGATTTATTGAAGAGCAGATCAGTCACTCGCCAGCGATCGCGGTAGAAGGACGTCCATTGTCTCTCGTGTAGAATTTTTAGTTATAATTCGAAATAATGGCTCAACTCGACAAGATTGCTGATAATATTGTCAAGAAAGCTAATACTAAGGAGGTATGTCTTGTTTTTGAATGGTGTCAAGAAGTCTTTGTCATGTACTGTATTATTTAGCGAGTGACTCATGGCTTTGATGTTCGGTTGATTTACTTGCTTATAGTTTTTCACTTTGATTATAAGTAGTTACGATGTATAACTTTGAAGGGAGAGGTTATTTCGCTATAAATAACTGTCCTTGATAGTTTTAATGAACCTGTTTAACCTGTGATTGTCACGATTTTTTTTTTTTTTTTTTATCGTACAGGTATTTGCCAATTTTCTTTCTTTTTTTTTATGAATTTCTGCTTTCTGTTTGTATCAACATGTAGCATATTCCTTTAGTCAATGAAAGTGTGTGTATACAAGTAATGCGTGTATATGAACATGCATATTTATTTGTATTTACCGGTGAATACAGCAATCAAGATCCCATTTTTTCTTACAGTAGGAGGGCTTTATGTTTTGGCAAAGACCAACAAACCGCTTCCATGTATATTCTGGCAGGAAGGTAGAACTTGTCAACCTGTCACTTTGCCATTAAATAATGAACCAGTCCAAACTTTTATCCCAAGTCTTTGCCAAAACATGAAGCACCTTTTCATATACTGCTATTTTAAATAGTTATTTGAATCAGGTTGAACCTCAGTTTGAATACTAACTTTAACCTGCAGGATGTGAAGATGAGCAGCTTCTGGGCAGAAGGAAGCTGCGTCCTCTTCTTCATGCGGCGGTTCGGATGAATGTTCTGCCGTGTGGGAGCCAAAGAGCTTAGTCTCTTGGCCCCACAGCTCGCCCAGGCTGGTGTGAGGCTCATCGGCATTGGCCTGGAGGAATTAGGGGTCGAGGAGTTCATCGAGGGAAAGTTCTTCGATGGAGGTCAGGGATGCCTTTCTCTGCATTACTATATCTTAAGGGCCTTTCTCTCTTCTCTTTCTCTCTCTTCTCTTTCTTTCTCTTCTCTCTCTCCTCTCTTCTCTCTCTCTTCTCTTCTCTTCTCTCCTCTCTCTCTTCTCTTCTCTTCTCTCTCTCTTCTCTTCTCTTCTTTTCTCTCTCTCTCTTCTCTTCTCTTCTTTTCTCTCTCTCTTCTCTTCTTTTCTCTCTCTCTCTTCTCTTCTTTTCTCTCTCTCTTCTCTTCTTTTCTCTCTCTCTTCTCTTCTTTTCTCTCTCTCTCTTCTCTTCTTTTCTCTCTCTCTCTTCTCTTCTTTTCTCTCTCTCTCTTCTCTTCTTTTCTCTCTCTCTCTTCTCTTCTTTTCTCTCTCTCTCTTCTCTTCTTTTCTCTCTCTCTCTTCTCTTCTTTTCTCTCTCTCTCTTCTCTTCTTTTCTCTCTCTCTCTTCTCTTCTTTTCTCTCTCTCTCTTCTCTTCTTTTCTCTCTCTCTCTTCTCTTCTTTTCTCTCTCTCTCTTCTCTTCTTTTCTCTCTCTCTCTCCTCTTCTTTTCTCTCTCTCTCTCCTCTTCTTTTCTCTCTCTCTCTTCTCTTCTTTTCTCTCTCTCTCTCCTCTTCTTTTCTCTCTCTCTCTTCTCTTCTTTTTTCTCTCTCTCTTCTCTTCTTTTTTCTCTCTCTCTTCTCTTCTTTTTTCTCTCTCTCTTCTCTTCTTTTCTCTTCTTTTCTCTCTCTCTCTTCTCTTCTTTTCTCTCTCTCTCTTCTCTTCTTTTCTCTCTCGCTCTTCTCTTCTTTTCTCTCTCTCTCTTCTCTTCTTTTCTCTCTCTCTCTCTTCTCTTCTTTTCTCTCTCTCTCTTCTCTTCTTTTCTCTCTCTCTCTCTTCTCTTCTTTTCTCTCTCTCTCTCTTCTCTTCTTTTCTCTCTCTCTCTCTTCTCTTCTTTTCTCTCTCTCTCTCTTCTCTTCTTTTCTCTCTCTCTCTCTTCTCTTCTTTTCTCTCTCTCTCTCTTCTCTTCTTTTCTCTCTCTCTCTCTTCTCTTCTTTTCTCTCTCTCTCTCTTCTCTTCTTTTCTCTCTCTCTCTCTTCTCTTCTTTTCTCTCTCTCTCTCTTCTCTTCTTTTCTCTCTCTCTCTCTTCTCTTCTTTTCTCTCTCTCTCTCTTCTCTTCTTTTCTCTCTCTCTCTCTTCTCTTCTTTTCTCTCTCTCTCTCTTCTCTTCTTTTCTCTCTCTCTCTCTTCTCTTCTTTTCTCTCTCTCTCTCTTCTCTTCTTTTCTCTCTCTCTCTCTTCTCTTCTCTTCTTTTCTCTCTCTCTCTCTTCTCTTCTTTTCTCTCTCTCTCTCTTCTCTTCTTTTCTCTCTCTCTCTCTTCTCTTCTTTTCTCTCTCTCTCTTCTCTTCTTTTCTCTCTCTCTCTTCTCTTCTTTTCTCTCTCTCTCTTCTCTTCTTTTCTCTCTCTCTCTCTTCTCTTCTTTTCTCTCTCTCTCTCTTCTCTTCTTTTCTCTCTCTCTCTCTTCTCTTCTTTTCTCTCTCTCTCTCTTCTCTTCTTTTCTCTCTCTCTCTCTTCTCTTCTTTTCTCTCTCTCTCTCTTCTCTTCTTTTCTCTCTCTCTCTCTTCTCTTCTTTTCTCTCTCTCTCTCTTCTCTTCTTTTCTCTCTCTCTCTCTTCTCTTCTTTTCTCTCTCTCTCTCTTCTCTTCTTTTCTCTCTCTCTCTCTTCTCTTCTTTTCTCTCTCTCTCTTCTCTTCTTTTCTCTCTCTCTCTTCTCTTCTTTTCTCTCTCTCTCTCCTCTTCTTTTCTCTCTCTCTCCCCTCTTCTTTTCTCTCTCTCTCTCCTCTTCTTTTCTCTCTCTCTCTCCTCTTCTTTTCTCTCTCTCTCTCTCTCCTCTTCTTTTCTCTCTCTCTCTCTCTCCTCTTCTTTTCTCTCTCTCTCTCTCTCCTCTTCTTTTCTCTCTCTCTCTCTCCTCTTCTTTTCTCTCTCTCTCTCTCCTCCTCTTTTCTCTCTCTCTCTCTCCTCCTCTTTTCTCTCTCTCTCTCTCCTCTTCTTTTCTCTCTCTCTCTCTCCTCTTCTTTTCTCTCTCTCTCTCTCCTCTTCTTTTCTCTCTCTCTCTCTCCTCTTCTTTTCTCTCTCTCTCTCTCCTCTTCTTTTCTCTCTCTCTCTCTCCTCTTCTTTTCTCTCTCTCTCTCTCCTCTTCTTTTCTCTCTCTCTCTCTCCTCTTCTTTTCTCTCTCTCTCTCTCCTCTTCTTTTCTCTCTCTCTCTCTCCTCTTCTTTTCTCTCTCTCTCTCTCCTCTTCTTTTCTCTCTCTCTCTCTCCTCTTCTTTTCTCTCTCTCTCTCTCCTCTTCTTTTCTCTCTCTCTCTCTCCTCTTCTTTTCTCTCTCTCTCTCTCCTCTTCTTTTCTCTCTCTCTCTCTCCTCTTCTTTTCTCTCTCTCTCTCTCCTCTTTTTTTCTCTCTCTCTCTCTCCTCTTCTTTTCTCTCTCTCTCTCTCCTCTTCTTTTCTCTCTCTCTCTCTCTCCTCTTCTTTTCTCTCTCTCTCTCTCTCCTCTTCTTTTCTCTCTCTCTCTCTCTCCTCTTCTTTTCTCTCTCTCTCTCTCTCCTCTTCTTTTCTCTCTCTCTCTCTCTCCTCTTCTTTTCTCTCTCTCTCTCTCTCCTCTTCTTTTCTCTCTCTCTCTCTCCTCTTCTTTTCTCTCTCTCTCTCTCCTCTTCTTTTCTCTCTCTCTCTCTCCTCTTCTTTTCTCTCTCTCTCTCTCCTCTTCTTTTCTCTCTCTCTCTCTTTCTCTTCTTTTCTCTCTCTCTCTCTTTCTCTTCTTTTCTCTCTCTCTCTCTCTCTTTTTTTCTCTCTCTCTTTCTCTTTCTCTTTTTTTCTCTCTCTCTTTCTCTGTATTCATATCTGTACATATTGTAAGTTGGTCCTGATACCAGTCTTCAAATATATGTTTTTTTCTTTTCCAGAATTATATATCGACACAGATAAGAAAAACTACAAAGCCCTTAATTTCCGAAACCTCAGTGTTCTTGCCCTGATTCCAGCCCTAGTAGCCAAAGTAGCCAGGGACACAGTACGAAAGGTGATTTGCACTTTACTTTTTTCAATCTAATTGTCTAATTTAAAGATTATATTAGGTCATTTACAGTATGGACACACTCGCCAGAGATAGTCCCCAATTCCATGCGACTGACTGTGACTGGGTGCAAGGGGAGAGTTGGTAAGGAGCCCTGCTCCCAAATACCCTGTGGCAAATATTGTGTTTACCTCAGAGCTAAAACTCAGGACAGAGTGGACTTAGGCTATAGCATTCCCATTCATGTCTGCAGATTATTTCTTGTACAGATGACATCTTTTTGTCCTCTACAAGAATATTCATCTCCAATTTGCCTTAGCGTAGTGTGTCCATACCATAAAGATGAATCTTATATTTTAGTTTATCCATCCCCTTTTATTTTATGGAAATACAAAGTTAAAAGATTTTTTTTTAAACTGTAGATACTAAAATATGTTGGTATGAATATGTAGATCCAAAAAGCTAGAATGAATTTACAAGGATACCTATAGTCACAAATATATGTATCCCTCTTAGTTTTAAGGGTTCTAATGCCAAGTAGCAAAAATGAAAGTAATATGTATCAACTAAATTTGGAAGCTCACATGCAGCTTTATAGTTTTCATTTATTACTTGATCTTATTTTACATCATAGTAAAGAAAAAGCAACTAATTACACATTACTTTGAAAAAAGTGTCGTTTTGGATTAAACCATTGCCTACGTAAACTTGACATAAAACCATAATACTACATGTCCTCTTTAAGATACCCATGTTTGTTTGTAGAGGTTTGTATTTTTAGATTACCAAACCCACCTTTTTTATGCATGAAAGGTGGGTACTGAACACAAGATTTATGATAAACACATTTTCCTCTCCATAGGCCAAACAATTGGGGATATCAGGAGACATGAAGGGTGACAAAATGCAGACTGGAGGATTGCTTGTTGTATCGCCTAAAGGCGAGAAAGTATTGTATGAGTTTAAACAAGAAAATCCAGCTGACCATGCAGAGAATGCAGCAATTTTAAAAGTGAGTAAAAGAAATTCAGGCACAGGATAGTAAGCATCAAAATATTGTTTGTTTTTTATTTTCTTTTTATTTCTCTTTTCATTTTAATTATTTTCTTCATATTCTTTCCCTATTTTTTTTTCTGCTTTGCTTTGGTTTCCTATTTTGATTTGTTTATTCTTCCTCTGGCACTCTAGTTGGCTTTTTTATGTCTCTCCTTTTATAGCTATCCTGTGTTTACTACTCTGTTTCTCTTTGTGTTTCTATGAGCTATAGACTGATCAATGGTCTCTTGTCTTTTTTCTCTTGGATGTGTCTGCGAACTCCCCAACATCACTTCTGGGGGTTCTTCATTTGATCTCAGGGACCATTTACAGTCTATGGTGTTCTTGATACTGAGTAGATAGAGTGCTGCTATGTAGCATAGTCTACCTTAAACTAAGTATTGTACCTAAATAGGTGCAAGTAAGATTAGTGATTTACAAAATTAATTGTTTTTTAATAATCCCAAAGGTCTGAGCTCCACAAACAAGGATTGTAGATCATTTACTAAATTTTCTGGGTCTGCTTATCGATGTCCACACTCAGGGCATAGAATCATACAGGATCAAGTGTAAATCTCAGATGGGATGAAGCTGCATGCAAGACTTACTTACTTTATATCTTCAAGAATTTGTGTAGTGTTTTTTTAAGCATTTAGAAATCAAAAGATTTTTGTCATATTGCTCTGTAATTCTCTTTGTGCAATCAAGCAGGGGCAGGCAGGACCAAGTGCTCATTCTCTCTCTTTCTCTCCTCTCCTCTTTCTCTCCTCTCCTCTTTCTCTTCTCTCCTCTCTTTCTCTTCTCTCCTCTCCTCTCCTCTCCTCTCCTTTCTTTCTCTCCTCTCCTCTCTTTCTCTCCTCTTCTCTCTTTCTCTCCTCTTCTCTCTTTCTCTCCTCTCCTCTCTTTCTCTCCTCTCCTCTCTTTCTCTCCTCTCTTTCTCTCCTCTCCTCTCCTCTCCTCCTCTCGTGTAGTGTGACTTTTTTTAAGCATTTAGAAATCAAAAGATTTTTGTCATATTGCTCTGTAATTCTCTTTGTGCAAGCAAGCAGGGGCAGGCAGAACCAAGTTCTCATTCTCTCTCTTCTCTTTCTCTCCTCTCCTTTCCTCTCTTTCTCTCCTCTCCTTTCCTCTCTTTCTCTCTTCTCCTTTCCTCTCTTTCTCTCTTCTCCTTTCCTCTCTTTCTCTCTTCTCCTTTCCTCTCTTTCTCTCTTCTCCTTTCCTCTCTTTCTCTCTTCTCCTTTCCTCTCTTTCTCTCTTCTCCTTTCCTCTCTTTCTCTCTTCTCCTTTCCTCTCTTTCTCTCTTCTCCTTTCCTCTCTTTCTCTCTTCTCCTTTCCTCTTTCTCTCCTCTCCTTTCCTCTCTTTCTCTCCTCTCCTCTCTTCTCTTTCTCTCCTCTCCTCTCTTTCTCTTCTCTTCTCTTCTCTTCTCTCCTCTCTTTCTCTTTCTCTTCTCTCCTCTCTCTTTCTCTTCCTCTTCCTCTTCTCTCCTCTCCTCTCCTCTCTTTCTCTCCAACTTCCCTCCTTCTCCATTTTTTACTGTTGTATGATACTTTTTATAATGAAATGTTTGTGTTATTAATTTCTCTTCTCTTTTTAAGGCCCTTGGCTTAGAAGCAGGGGAAGCAGCTGTTGGAGGAGACAAGAAAGATAGCATGAACGTGACAGACTTGGAGTGTGAAGATGTGTGTGCTATGCCAGCTAAGAAGTAAACATGTGTGGGACTGCCATGTACTCTCTGCAATGTGTATGACCGTTGCAACTGGTTTTCAATTTTTTGTAATGCATGTCAGAATGTTTACCACTTTGCTGAATTCCATATTGAAATAGGAGATACTAAATGTTAAAGACGTTTGATATATCTTTCTGCCAACAAGGACTATAGAAATTCTTAGTTTATGATTTCAAATAATATGCCTCTCCCTAAAAAAAAGAAAAAAAAATCATTAGTATTTCACAAGTGCTCATATTCATTCCAAATTTATAGGGGACAAAGATCAACAAAACATGTTGCACATGTTTACTGTGCCTTTTATAATAATGAAAAAAATATTTTTATAGCATGGTGCTGCTGATAAGGATAGTTTATCATTAGGTCATTAATCAATGCTGGATATACTTTTTGATATGTAAAAAAAAATTATATGCCCCTTTACTTTTGCAGCCTAATAGATTTTTTGATAGTTTCAAGTCCACCAGAGATTAGCCTCCATATATAGTTATCGATGTCTTCTAATGAACAATTTGGAAAACTACTTAAGTGAGATATCATGTGTTTTCATGATAATGCACAAGAATGAATAGATAGTGCCATTTGAGGATGTAGAATGATTGCTAGAATCTTTGTCATACAGTAACACTCAGGAACTAACAATATCTTTATTAAAATATTAACACATGGCAGATCTCATTAATTTAAATGTTTAGCTTGATTACACTGTGTCACAAACTTTATTATCATAATAATAATTTCCTTTTTTTTTTACGTCATGAATAATTGTATGGGTGTATTTTTTCTGTTCGAGAAGCATATTCTGCATTTTATACATATTTATACTGGCTTTGATGTATGAAGTCTTGTGTATAAATGAAATTTTCAGGACACAAGATGGATGTGTAGAAAGCCATTGTTTATATGTGTGAATTAAGCATGGAAGAGCTTCTGGTTACGTGATCCAATGTTGCGCATAAACAGATGAAAAGAAACAGTTGTTTATTATTACTCCTAAGTTGCAGGAGATTCATTTTGTAAGGTAGGTCATTCACTAATGGTTAATGGTTAATGGTTAAAAGCAAGATAAATGTGCTAGACATCTAAGGTCATGTAGCACTATAGTTAATGTTAGTGAAGGGTGGTTGGGCAAAGGAATTAGTGAGTGAAAGGGTTAAGGTCGGGTGTTAGATTAGATAAAGGATATGTATAAGAAAGGTTTCTTGAAGGCATACAATAGATGGGTTATAAGAGGAAAGGATATGACGAAGGTCAGGTCTGTGGGAGCGGAAACCGCGAATATTCCAATGAAGGATAGTTATACTTTCGTTGATTTATAGATTGTAGTACGTGTTGGAGAATTTGAAGGGGAAGCAGCTAGAGGGTGGGATAAGGACTGAGAGGTTTGAGATGGGAGAGGTGTGGGAGTTGGTGTTCTATCAGGAGGGGTATTAGGAGATGGAGGGTCTGAGGAAGGGGATACTTGTGACATAAGGGATTCACGTGTGTATCCAGGAGGGAGTGGAAGGGATAGAGGGGATGGTGGGAGGGTTAATGTGGGCGGGGTTGGGGTCAGGGGGGATGGGCTGTGTTGGGAGGGGATAGGAGGATAGGGTGTAGGGGGGATATCGTTAGGAGGAGGATGGATATCAGCAATTACTTGGAGTGTGGAAGGAGCAGGAGTTGTAGGTTGAGTGTCAGTTTTCATTAAGTAATCTTGAATATTTTCAATTGTTTCTTCTGTGGAGTTGGTTGGGGAGTTTTGGGGGATAAAGGATTTCTTGTGAGGGGGGGAAGAGAGGACTGGTGTCTCAAGAGTAGGGGCAAAGGATGGTGGGGGTGATTGTGTGGTAAGGGAAGAGGGGGTGGAACATTTGTTCTGTCTGTTACGGGTAGTGCGAGGAGGGAGAGGGGAAGGTGTTGGGGTTGTAGTGGTGATTGGAGTATCTGTAGTAGAGATTGGAGTGTCTGGATATAGGATGGCAAAAGAGTTTGACTGGGGAAGGTAGGAGGTAGAAGTGGGGGAGTTAGATGTAGGAGGGGTGGGTTTAGGAGAAGTGTTAGAATGAGCAGTATTACTGGAGTAAGGAGTAAGAGAGAATCCACGTCGACGTGCTTCCTGCCTGGCTTCACGTAGTGTGAGTCCAAGTTTGAATCTGAGAGTTGCTACCTCAGATTCAAAATCATTCACTAAGATCAAGAATATTTTGATATGATTTGATGTTGATTGATTAGATCCAATCACCCAAACCCATCCTTTTATTTATGTGCAATGAGCAACATTATATTCATCTTTGCAGGACCATTCATTCTCTCGAAAGTGCAGGTTTCTGAGCCACCTATAACTACTCAACCCCAGATAGTGTAGCTAGACTTGGCTAAGTTCCTTATTTGATTCTAGTCTCAGTCACACAAGGCTAATGAAACCTCATCTTTAGCAATAGGATCATATTTGGTTTCTGGTCAATGAAATAATATTTAGTGACAATCTTTTCACAAAAAAAAGCAATGAAGTAAAAGTCACTTTTCATATAAAACATTTCACTAATATTCATTTACATAGCAAACTACAGCAAATGCAACTTTCAAGCATCTATATTGCAAATTTATCCTTAATGAATTTTCCTGTGGCTGTAGAATTTTCAGTTGCAGCTGGTTAGTAATTTTTGGGTTTACAACAATTTGCAATATATTACAGTGCATTTCTTTTCAAAGCTTGAATGTGGATTTACATGGACACAGATACTAAATGTTAGACTATAGCCAACAAATAGCTACTGTACAATAGCCTACAGTCACAGATACCCTTGTTTGTCTCCTCTATATCTCGACGACTCATGAGTAATAGCCAGTAGTTTTTCGTCATGTTCTGTTTTTGTTTTTTTATGCAGATAGCTCAGCAATGTTTGGAGAAAATATTATTTTCCAATGCTTATTAATTGTGGTGGTTATTGGTAGAAAACATGGAAAAGTGTTTTACCATTCATGGTGGTTATTATTATTAACATTGCCATATTTATTATGTATACAATACATGTACTGCCCTCTACTTTTTTGTGTGAGTGTGTGAATTTCATTGCACACAAGTGACCCCACAATTGCTCAGCCTTCAGGCAGTCAATTAGTAGACTGAAATGTTTCCTCATTTCCTAATCATTCTAGAGGATCTATAGCTTGATTTACTTGAGTTACAATTCCTCATAGTAAAAGAGTAGGAGTGGTATTACTAATATGAGAGGTATTTCATATCTATAGTACCTTTACCATATAAAACCAGAGGTTCCAGTTCCAGCCTTCATTATAACTGTTCTGTTACATACTTCATGGTGGGGAATAAAACACAAACATTTTTAAGTTTAAAGTTTATTGACTATGAAAATGCTAAAATTATCCTACATAAAAGATTCCATAAAAAAATATATATATATATTTAAATATATATAAAGTACAACATAACCAAAAAACATTTTCTTCATATAGACAAATATAAATATTTACAAGCACTAAATTATACATACACATGTAATATTAAATAAAGACATATATTACATATATATATTACAGAGCAACATCATCCTGCCATGAAATTCTACCTTCTCCATTAAAATAGGTTTTGAAACTATCCCGTACTGTCTCTGCATTACTGGAAAGTTTTCCTGAGATGTCTTCAAGCTTTTCAATTCCTGGAACATTTTTGTGAGGAAGTGAGACATCACTGTCAATGTTTTCCCTTTCCAGCAATTCTTGTTGCAAAGGTACTCTGGAATGTATTCTTAAAAAATTATGGAGCACCACTGCTGCAAATATTGTGCTGTGTGCATTTGCTGGAGTTGCCTGAATAGGCCGCTGAAATACTCGGAATTTGCCAGCTAGAATTCCAAAGGCATTTTCTGATACTCTGCGAGCACAAGATAATCTGTAGTTAAACATTTTCTTGTCCGCGGATAAGTTTTGGCCAGAGTAAGGTTTCATTAAGTAATCCTCTAAGGGAAAAGCATCATCACCTAGAATCACATAAGGAACCTTCTCCTTTACAGATGGTAATGTAGCAGCTGGTGGAAAATTAAGCATATTTTTGTCCAAATATTCTTTCAACTTGCATTGGTCCCAGAAACCAGCAGCATTTGCTTGCCCTTGTCCTTCTGCAGCTACATACAAGAACTTGTAGTTAGCATCAACTAGTGCTACCATTATTATGCCATGATAACCTTTATATTCACAATATTCTGGCCCTGTGTTTTGTGAATGTACAAGAAAGCGTTTTCCATCTATGGCTCCTATGCACATTGGAAAGTTCCAGTTACTACTGAAATCACAAGCCACTAGTTGCCATTCATCTGAGGTTTTTGGTAACTGAAGATAATCACCCTTCAAAACCAAATGTACTGCATTGCAGACTTCAGGAATAATGCGAGTTATCGAACAGTGGCTTATCCTGTACTGTAATGCTAATGAGCGACGAGCTTCTCCTGCAATCAAGAAAATCCAGAATATAAATAACTAAACTGTACCAACAGTAGCAAACTTCAAAATGTGGAAAGTATGTTACTTCTAACAATTAAATTAAATTAATAGAGAAACTAATTGTAAATTTAACTATGAAATTAACATCAGAGATGACTCTGTGTAGATGATTAAATGTACCTATCCTTTAAATATTTTTAGAAAGGGACTGATCAATCAATATAAAATATACAAGTAAGTGTAAATTGATGGGCTATAATAATTACCTATAAACTAAGACTAGTATGTTAAAAATGTTCTTTTCCCCTATTTTAAATTGCACACAAAACAATTTAACCCAATACAGACAGGCATGGCATGTACATACATGTCATGCCCACTGTGGGTTTACTGTATTAACCCAATGTCGATGGGGAAAATTATTATTATTATTATTATTATTATTATTATTATTATTATTATTATTATTATTATTATTATTATTATTATTATTATTATTATTAATAATAATAATAATAATAATAATAATAATAATAATAATAATAATAATAAAAAAATAAAAAAAACAGGAAAAATGCTGTGCTCATTTTTTATATTTTTTTGTGAAATGTCTCTGCACATAGATGGCTCTGTTATTGCTTAGCCACAAAGGAGTCAATTAGTAGACCTTGTGACCTTACGTGATTTGAATTGGCAGGAAATTTTTTTTTTTCACTAATGCTATAAATACCGATAGTGTTATTTTTATTATAGACCTTATAATTACTATAATGTTATAAACATTAGTAACAGCAAAATAAGATAACATAAAATATTTTTGCAAATCAAAGAAAAAGATAAACAGGCAAGACAGGCAGTACTTGTAATTGGCTCATTGGTGACTTAGTACAAGTGTAGCCATCTATGTATAAAAACAATTAAACAAGTAACTCACAGTGGGCATGGCACGTACGTACATGTCATAACAGTTGGCATGACGTTATCTTATTTTGCTGTTACTAAATAATCTGCAGATGTGAATGGTAATGCTGCAAATTAAGGAAAAAGATTGCAGAAAACACCACTCACAACCTACTTCCACTCAGTGCTCCTGAGTTTCACCTCTATCTTGCTGTGCCTACCAAGGTGAAGACAATTTATTTATATAAAATTTTCTGCAGCTTCAACATCTAAGGTCATTAGCGAGACACTTGGGGGCAAAGCCCCCAGGTAAGGAAATGCTTATATGACATCAAAGGTCATATGACACTCTGGTAGAATAGAGTAGCAAAAAGGGTTAGGAATGAATTAATGATTAGGGAAAAGTTACAGATTGAACAGTACTAGAGGGTAGTAAGGTAATAAAAAGGTAGAGAGGGGGAGCTGATGGGATATAGTATAAGGTTAAGAGGTTGATAAAAGGGGAAGGAGTTTAGGGAGTCAGGAGCATTTAGATGAAGTATTGTGGCAAAAACGGCAAAAATTAGTTTACCAATTAAGAATAGTAAACAGAACAAGGGGATGAAGAAAACAAAAAGGAAAGGAGAAGAAAAGACCTGCAAAATTAGTTGAGGCAAGGGCTGAGGACAAAGGCAGGGGTGATCCCCTACAATGGGCCTCATTTGCCCCATCTCCTACAGCCCTCCACAACAACAAACAGGGGATGGTGGGGTGGGGTGATGACAATGTTTGTTGGGGACAGAGCCATCCATCCTTCCCCAGTCATGGTAATTTAAATTGTATATCAAATTTGTGATTAAGAGTTGGGGACTGACAAGTGCATCCGTACTGTAAAGAATTACCTTGAAAATTAAGCAAAGATGGTTTATTTTGCCTTTGTTCAGGCAGTTTAGAAATGGCCATCACATTTTGCATTAGCTGCATTGTGATATTGTATATATATTGATGATGAACTAGGAAGTTTATCATCAAGTAACTAACTAACCAACCAGTCCATGCTGTCACAATATAAATGAGTGTTTAATGGCCATCTGGCTTGAATACAACTGCGATCACTGAGCAAATGGTATATGTTGTGAGTAAGTTGCAAGAAAATTAAACAACTTATATTAGGCTAAAGCTTAGATGGTAAAAGTTTACAACAGGAGCACATCTGCCAGAGATAAGTACCACTTTCTTCCGGTGGCAATTTGGGTTCTGTGCAGCACCCAAAACCTATCTCGCGAGCAGAGACAAGACACCACAAAGCTCAGCCCACTCCTGCAATGTAATGGGAATGGCTGCAGTTGCTAGCTGTTTTACTTTATTAGTTATTTTATTGACTGGTATTTTGAAATATAATATTCTGAAGGCTTTTAATATCTTATGGTGGGTGGTGCTGTGCTATAGATACCCAATATAAGTACAAACATACATCAGAATAACTGAGGCAAGAGGAATGCATACAGCAACTCAATAAATTTTTATCTTTTACTCAATTTCTGTTATGCAAGCTGTCATGTAAGCCTTGACCTTCAGAAAACATAGTTTTAGTCTAACTTGAAATAGCAAAAACATGTACCCCATTTTATATACACAAACTACTGCAAAGATTACTGTATGTACCAAAAATCTTATTAATCCCAGACCCCGAACCAATTCCTGTATTTCCCAGTATTTATTCTGGCCCTGTAAACATTGTGAGTGCCTTCAAAAAATTCAGTTGCAGTGCAATATTCATATATAGACATTGGTTAATCTTTATAGTATGGATGCACTAAGGAGGGCAAATTGAAGATGATATGCTTATAGAGAACTAAAGTTGTAGTTGATTGTATAAGAAATAATCTGTGGACATGAATGGTAACTCCATAAATAAAGGAAAAAGATTGCAGAAAGTGCCACATGCAGCCTAGGTTCACTTATTCACTCAGTGCTCCCTAGTTTCTTGCAATGCATAACATGTTGAAGACAATGTTTCCTGGGGGAGTGTTGGGGGGCAGAGCCCCCATCAACCCTCACCTAGGGCAAAGTCTAAGTTGCAGTGCCTGGGCACACCCTGGTACTGCAGCTTAGACTGTTGCATAAATTTTGTGAAGTCGAGTTGGGGACTTACTCTCTAGCAAGTGTGTCCATACTGTAAAGAATTACCTAGGCATACTATGAGACTACACTCGCGTTTTTAAAACTCTCACACAGTTAATTACACCATAAAGAATGAGAATATATAATTTTCTTTTAATTATATTATATTATATTAGATGTCCTCACCTGAAAAAAGCACATGGATCCTTCCAACCTCTTGGAAAGTAAAAGTTCACAATATTATCAACATCAGGTTCCTTTACCTAACATCTGACTAGATAAGTAAATATGATTCTTGGGTAAATAGACAGAATACCTCTGCATAACTGATCACAATGGTATTGATGTTGATGGAGTCCTCTCACCATCTACTACCCTAATATATAGAAATTATGTTGTGGACCCCTCCCCCCCCGGCCGCCCTTTCCGCTCCCAGCCTCCCCCGTTAGCCGAGTGCACGCCACAGCCCGGGCATGGGTACTCACTGACACATGAGTTCGCTCACACCAAGCGAGTGACTCCATGCCTGGGCCACGCACAAACAGATGGCGTGGAGCCTCCCTCTCCAGGCTCTATCCTCCTTTCCGTCTCTGTGTCAGCTATGCCCCCAACTTTTACCCCGACTCTTTTTTTCTCTTACTAAAGCATCTTTCAATCCCCCCCTTTATCCTTCCCCTCCCCCGTCTTCTTTCCCCCCAGTCTTTTCTTTTAACTTTGGTGTTGTTGTTGTTGGAAACCCCCCTAGTACCCACAATCTTGGCCCCAATAGCAGGGGAAGGTATGAATGGTAAAAGGAAATTGTGGGGTAAAATATGAATACTATACAGAGACTTGGTCAATACATAGTTAAATCCTCAGGGCTATGCCCCCTACAAGCCCTACATAAAGGGGGTTCCTGACCCAACCCCTGCCCTGGTCAATAAAGAATCCACCATACGGGATTGAGTGCACCTGCATGTTGTTCATACTCTACCCTGCAATGAATATGTGGAGGATTCATTGTCTTCCACTGTGGGGGTTGGGGGACAGTAGACCTTCAGTAGGGGGGTTGCAGGGGGCACAGCCTCCAGCATTGGACAATGTAGTGACTGATTCACTGTACATTTTTCACTTTCCCACAATTTCCCTAGTACCTTTTATGCCCTCCCTTGCTATTAGGGCCAGGATTGTTGCTAATGGAGGGTGTTTCTGTGACATGAATTCAATATAATTGGATATTAGGGGATGAGAGGAGTCCACTGATACCAAAATCACTATGATCCGTTATATGAAGGTATTCCAAATTATCAATTCTTGATTGTGAAATTAATGCAGATGGGAATAGTTAACAATCTCTTTCACTGCATAAATACATCTTATTAGTATACTGCACCCCTACTAAAATCTGTACCAGAATAGATAGAATAAATCAGTCAATCTAATAAAACAATCTAAATGGAATAAAACAATTGATCTTACCTGTAGTTAAGTATCGCAACGTTACAGACAGACGTTGTGCTGAAGGAATAGAGTCTCTTAATTTGGTGTTTTCCTTCTGAATGAGAGGAGACACCAAGGATAACAGTTTGTCGAAATTCTCCTTATTCATCCCATGGAAATCGTAGAACACGGGGTCATCGTCGAGTCGCATTTCCTGAATTAGCTGAACGAAGACACTCCTATTCTTTCTCTGTAGCCAAGGCTTGACCCAGAGTCTCCTCTTCTTTTTCGTAGGATCATCATCGGGGTGTATTTCAGACTCGCTTCTCTCTTTCCTTTGCAGACGGGGCGTTACCCGAAGCCTTTTCTTCCTCCTCTTCTTTTGTCTCAGTAAATACAAGTATGCCCGGGCGCAAGTTAACGTGGCGAGAGTGAGAGAGATTAGCTTGGGGTCCATGGCGCCTGACACTTGCCAAGTGACAAGAGGAGGAGGTTGTTGTTGTTGTTGCCGTTGCTGTTGTTGTTGTTTTTGTTGTTGTTGCCGTTGCTGTTGTTGTTGTTGTTGTTTTTGTTGCTGTTGTTGTTGTTGCTGCTGTTGTTCTGGTTTGTTTTGGTTTAAGCAGCTGATTGCCGCCGCCGAACTGAGCCGACGGTTCTTTTCGCGGCGCCGCCCGACGGCTGGATCTTCGGGTCTTCCTCCCCAAGGGTTTACTTATTTAGATTTTGTAAATCGCACTCACTGTTCTCGAAAAATATAAGGTCAAGATTATATTGCCCATGATGGATGTCCAGTATCGCTATCCATTTATTTGCTGGATAATTATACTTTTAGAGCGTCTTTTCTTTGCTATATCTTAAATGAGAGTGAGAATACTAAAGATTTTATTTTAATGATATGATGTATTATTATGGATCTTTTCGATTGTGTTAACAACTCATTCGTTGGAATGAATGAACTGTAATGAAATAATTAATTTTGCTTCTATAACTGTTTACCATTTTAGCAACTGCACTTTCATTAATAATTTACAATTCTCATAATTACTTTTTTCTGGTATCATATCTATGTTTTTTTAATCATTATTATTGTGTTTCCTATCACTCCTACTGCACCAATCATTACAAATTCGACCAAAGAAGGATGAGAAAGTTTAGTGAGAGAAATGTTAGTTCACAGATTTTGTGTCTGGTTCAGTGAGTAACCATTAGGTTTTTAAGTATGAAAAACTACGCTAAATGCCATTCATTTCTACACATGAACTTACTGTATATATACAGCCTTAAGAAAATGGATAAATGAATAAATAAATAACCAGGTAAATGAAAACGGTAGTATGAGTGCATGGCGCTAATGTTTACTTATTATAGACGTGGTTCGACCTACAATTGTCTACGGTTCGGGATTATCACCCTTTTGGCCAGGTCAAGATATGGTATCTGGGGGACAGGGCGAGCCACGTCGAGAACGGTCTTTGTTCTAGATCCTGTTATTTTTTTCGCCTTACACCTGCTTGCTGTAATTTATTTGAAGGCAAGTAATGTCAACCCACAGGTATAGATTCATTTGAGATGCTTTTTAGGTTATCAGTTCATGTGGGCGTCTATAACTGTACATACATGCATAAATGTTCTTTAGTATAGTTTGCCTGTTACATGCATTTGATACCTTGTCAATTTGTTTGTTTGTCTCTATATGCACGGTCGCATATGTTTAAGAAATTTCCTCTCGGTTTACTTTCATTTAATTCCTTGCTGACCATTATAGTATTTGGCAAAGTCAAAATATGTATAGATATAGTTATAGATATAGGTATTAAGTACTCTGATTATGTAAAAATAGGATTTTTCTCTGACCAGACGTATCCACTTTGGCTATTTTTGCCAGGTGGCTGTTTTCCTAGGAGTATTTTAGCATGGGCTGGTATTTCCTTACTTGTGATTTTGTGTGGGTAGGCATTTGGCTAGGTATTGGATGTGTTTGGCTGGAAATTTCCCTACTAATGGTTTTGTGAGAAGGTATTCCCTTGCTGGTGTTTCTATTCACATTTGCAGGTGGGGAAATATGCATTTACATTACTGGATATTTCTCCATTATATGACACATTTGATCATTTCTGATACTAATACTTAATCCTGCTGTATTCATGTTCACTTTGAATATTTTCAATATTTATAAGTTGTTAAAATATTTCTTTGACAGCAATGATAGCCTCTTGGTCAGCCCAATACAATATATTTCCTGCCAGACTGCAGATCATCACAGGAAATAAAGTTTATTATCCACAACCAGCAGTTTGCATTGGAACTGATGTCATTTTATGTCTACTCATATTGTCCATCCTTTATTAATCACATGGTATGCTCATGCAGGATCCAGAGTTGAACCATTCATAAACATTTTCCTTGCTCCAATTGTGAATACTGAGAAAAAGTATATTGTAACAAAACTGAAAATAAAACCAATCATCAATTCTATAGCAGGGAAATACTCATCTGGCAGATAATAGCTGTAGAGGAAAGCCTAGCAGGGAAATGTCAGAATTCCAGATAATACATTTTCCTGTACAAAATGAACAGAAATACCTGATGTGTATATACTGTACATTTTTCCTTGGTAAGAAATATTCTTACTCTGTTTATGTGAGGCACAATGGTACATCAGTAAAATGGGTATATTAAACAAACATTATCATATTTTATGTTTATTCAAAAATGACTTATATTTACCTCATCAGTTTAAGATATTGTATTTTCATATCAAAGGCTATGTTAATAGATACAACCACTGAGGTTTGCCACTGAAGGAACACGAGTCCCAGCAACCCCAGTGCTAATGAGGTCATCTATATCTACTGCATTCCCATGCATTGCCTGCTTGTGTTGTCCACTCTCCAGTCACTGACAGAGGTTACCCAAGGAAACCAATCTATAATTTACATATTTACTTCAACAGAGTAAAAACCTATTCCTTTACTTCAAGAATTTGCTAGTATGCAATATTATTAAGCTTTCTAGAAATGAACTGAACAGCAAGTATGTACCAAGTAATCTTTCCTTCAAGATATTCAGTGGCATAAATAAATGGATAATTAAAAATTTTAGCCAAATAATTGGTGGACAGCAGTGCTTCTACCAAAGTGAATGTCTTGTGAAATCCAAACAATAATGTACATGAACTTTAGCAAAGGAATAATAAAAAAAATCTTGAGAAAAAATAAATACAAACATCAGTCTAATAAGCTAATAAATGAAATATTCTTTTTAAGTGACAGTTTCTCAAGACTGAAAAAAGTTGTGAATGAACAATGGCAAGCACCTGATTACATACATAACACTATCACCAATTGCGGCTAAAGTATTTACAAATATTTAACAAATATTCTCCAGTAATTCTTTCCTTACACAACAAGCAAGCATATGCAGGAAGACTTGACAGGACAGGAAAAGAGGGAAGGTTGTTGCATAGGCACTGGCAGCACATACAGTCGTGGAAAAAGCAAGAAAGCATTGTTGTATTGGCTGGTTCTTGGTAATACCTGGCTGTGATTTGACTTCCACCTTGATTACTTACTTACAAAAAGGTACACGACTAAGAAATACACCGAACATAACTCTTTCAGCCTTATCAAGGCATGGTTCTATTACACTGGATTGTTCTGTCGCCCTCTTTTGTCAAATTTGTTTAGCAAAGCAACAGAATTGTATGACATAAAGCCTATGTATAAAAGAAGAAAAAGAAGAAAGGAAATGTGGGAGTAAATCTCTATAGGAAAGCAGGAGTGTGAAGATGTGTTGGTCCTAGGACAGACTGTTTACAAGTTTTCAAATTGATCTACTCGTCGCTTGGTGTTGCCCTTGCGGATCTCCCTCAGTGTCTTGTACTTGTCTCTGCCCTGTCGCACATTCTCCTTGTGAATTTTGTCCATGGTGGTTTCCTTTTCAGTGTCTCGTGTGGACTCAAGGTCATGCTTGAGAGCCTGCAAAAAGTGGAAAGGATCAATGATTAACAGTAATCAAACCTTCCTATTTTTATCTGTAACTAATACATACCTACTTTCACCTGTTTAAAATAAAAATAAATGTATGGCCACAGTCACTGACAGAGGTTACCCAAGGAAACCAATCTATAATTTACATATTTACTTCAACAGAGTAAAAACCTATTCCTTTACTTCAAGAATTTGCTAGTATGCAATATTATTAAGCTTTCTAGAAATGAACTGAACAGCAAGTATGTACCAAGTAATCTTTCCTTCAAGATATTCAGTGGCATAAATAAATGGATAATTAAAAATTTTAGCCAAATAATTGGTGGACAGCAGTGCTTCTACCAAAGTGAATGTCTTGTGAAATCCAAACAATAATGTACATGAACTTTAGCAAAGGAATAATAAAAAAAATCTTGAGAAAAAATAAATACAAACATCAGTCTAATAAGCTAATAAATGAAATATTCTTTTTAAGTGACAGTTTCTCAAGACTGAAAAAAGTTGTGAATGAACAATGGCAAGCACCTGATTACATACATAACACTATCACCAATTGCGGCTAAAGTATTTACAAATATTTAACAAATATTCTCCAGTAATTCTTTCCTTACACAACAAGCAAGCATATGCAGGAAGACTTGACAGGACAGGAAAAGAGGGAAGGTTGTTGCATAGGCACTGGCAGCACATACAGTCGTGGAAAAAGCAAGAAAGCATTGTTGTATTGGCTGGTTCTTGGTAATACCTGGCTGTGATTTGACTTCCACCTTGATTACTTACTTACAAAAAGGTACACGACTAAGAAATACACCGAACATAACTCTTTCAGCCTTATCAAGGCATGGTTCTATTACACTGGATTGTTCTGTTGCCACTCAATGCTTTTATCACTTCCAAATCTAATAGAGATTATCAGACCTTTACATTTAAACAAAATTAACAAATTAAGAAGGGCATGAGAACAGAGGGTTCCTATTCTGAATATTGTATGATAAACAAAAAAAGTTTTTCAAAAACAAAAGATAAAACAAAAAAACAATACATTGACAAATTAATCAATTCAGGAGGAAATATCTTCCGTATTTCATATTCACCCCTAAATATGATAATAATAACTATCAGATCTAAGCTATCAGATCTCTCGTTGCATCCACCTGAACAACACTAAACAGGAGCCTATACTTAGGTGTTACAAATACAAATGTCAATATTCAAAATAGACTACCCATCAACCAACATATATTTACATTCATAACAATGCTTGGCCTAACTTTATTACCCAGAGCGTTCATTGTGTAAAAATCTAACTCTCTACCTCTAGCTTTGTTTCTTCTTCTATATGAACTGCAAGAGACATACAGCTTCGGGCATAAGGTAATTCAGTACAATGATAACATTGTGCTGTTTCTGGTTTCTTCTTTTTTTATTATATATTATTAGATCTTAAAAAATATTCAGCTCCTTGAACCTTTCATCAAGTGTCAAGTTACTGGGAATGAAAGTTACCAAATAAATTGAGAGATGAAAATTCAAGGGGGCAGAAAGGGGAGAGGGAGAGGGTGGGAGGGAAGGGGGAGGGTAAGTTACTTGCATGGTCCAGCACCATCTGAAATGGTCCATATCACATTGTTCACACTAAGTAAGGAAGTGTTGTCTTAATGTTTTTTCTCATGCTTGAGACATGAGAAATGCATTCATTTAGATTATGATATGACTACTTTTTTCTTTTTTTTTTCTTTTTTTTTAAGATGTGGTCCAATTTTAACAAGGACAAGAGTACATCACTCATTTCACCTATATTACATACATACAAATTTCCATTATTATATATAAAGATCATGTAGGGCACAGTTACCTATTTACTTCTCCAAAGACAATACTATTTTATGTAGTAAATGGAAAAAGGAATGTGAACTCATCAAAAACTGAATTCACATATTTCACAGGCTTCTAAAGTAATAATAACAGTAATAATAACAATATAATAATAATCATAATAATAATAATAATTGTAATTATACTACTAATAATATAATGAATAATTAATAATAATGATAAACTCAGTAAAGTTTTTGCATCTCAGAAGTTTGTCAAATTTGTTTAGCAAAGCAACAGAATTGTATGACATAAAGCCTATGTATAAAAGAAGAAAAAGAAGAAAGGAAATGTGGGAGTAAATCTCTATAGGAAAGCAGGAGTGTGAAGATGTGTTGGTCCTAGGACAGACTGTTTACAAGTTTTCAAATTGATCTACTCGTCGCTTGGTGTTGCCCTTGCGGATCTCCCTCAGTGTCTTGTACTTGTCTCTGCCCTGTCGCACATTCTCCTTGTGAATTTTGTCCATGGTGGTTTCCTTTTCAGTGTCTCGTGTGGACTCAAGGTCATGCTTGAGAGCCTGCAAAAAGTGGAAAGGATCAATGATTAACAGTAATCAAACCTTCCTATTTTTATCTGTAACTAATACATACCTACTTTCACCTGTTTAAAATAAAAATAAATGTATGGCACAGTCACTGAAGTTTTAAACTGAGCAACATGATATATGATCACACAAGTTCATAATGCTTTCACCATACCTTAAGCTGGTTCTGAAGTCGCTCATTGCGCTCGGCAAGAGTCCTCCTCTCCTCCACTGGATCTTCAATGGGCTCATCTCCGATGTAGAGGTCCTTGGAGATGTCTCCATTAGGGATGTCGTCATTCTCCTCAGTGTCTTCCTGCTCAGCTACGTGGTGATGCTGAGGGGTAGAAGAAGCAGCCAAGAGAGCAGCAGTGGCTTCCTCTTGCTTCATGCGAGCTTCCTCAACCTCTTGCTGTATTTCATAAGAAGATGTATGCAATGGATTAGTCAATGCAAATGGGTGACTTTGTCTTCATAATCCCCAGACTTGTTTTTTTGAAGTATCCATCTAAAAACTGCAAACTACTTAAACTCTCTTTCTCCTAATTCTGTATCCCTGAAAGTTTCTCTGTTTTACTGACATTGAAAGAAAAGTACATGTACATAAAGAAAATTCTTTAAACAAAAGAAAACAAAAATAAAGAAATATTAGTCACTTCCTTTGGATATAACCCCTTGAGTTCACTTATGAAAGAATTACCTAAAGTCCCTCTAGAGAACCTTAATAATCCTATGAAGTGCATGCTCATTTCATTAAGGTCATACTCAAGATTCAAGTTCTTGGAATTAACATTCACACATCATACCTTGGAGAGCTTTATGATTTTGCTATTTAAAAGCACTGCAAGCTTATTTTCCTGCTAATTGGTGTGCCTTGAGAAGAGGAGGCAAGTAGCAATATTCATTTAAGTCTTTTTAACGAGACAACAACTGATTACTGTTTAAGCCGAATCTCTAAGGCCTGACCCTACCAGTTCCCTTTTAATTATACAAAGATTCTTTCCTTATGCATAAAACATAAAATAAATAAGTAAAATAAAATATATAAAACACGAAAGTGACATGAAAACATTTTTCAATATAAAACACAAAACTGACATGAAAACAATTTTAAGTGAAACTGTACCTGATCTTAAGCATAAGCTTTTCTCCTATGGCAACATAGTTCATAATGGTATAAATGTATTGTACATGCCATATATATAGTCTAATAGATATTATTCAGTATGAGAAACATGCTGTGTCCACAAGTGAGTTATCATGCCTAGTTCTCAGGAAACAATTTCCTTTATGTGGTAAACCCCCCTACATCCATCTACATGTTTTATCCTATGATGGAGAATAATACAACAGTATGTCTGCCTCAAGTTCAGATAATGACAATAAATGAACCAATAATTTCTGAAATATATATATAAAAAATCTGACAACTATTATAACTGGGTAAAATACCACAAAACACAAGGGTTAATTTTTTCCAAGTGTATTACAAAAATACTGAAGCATGGGTGGAAAAAAAAATCACACGTAACCAATCAGAGGGACACACATGTTAACAGAAGGATAGGTTGGGTTTGTGGAGAGAAAATAATAATAATTCCATGCAGAATAACAGATATGCACCACAATGCTTTACGGCAATGGTGGCAATTTATTTCCTACCCAAGTCTGTTTATATATATATAAATATAAAAAAAAACAAAATTTAAAGGTCACAGATCTATCAAAAACGACCTTTGCAAACATCACACTGGTTACCTTACCACCCACGCCTACCCTTGGTTGTCCCTCAGAAAGCCGCAGTTTCAGCATCTTATCGTAAAAAAAGTCCACAATTCATGGTCAATTTCCTCTTTGAAATGGCATACTGTTTCTTTCTTACTCTTTCTTTTAGTTCACACCATTAATTATTAGGAAATGATAGCTATTTCTCATGATATTCTTGAATCCAAATTACAACTATAACACGAACATGAAAACCAGTACAAATACACAGGTGTCACCGACAAACACCTTTCAAATGTTTAATAATATATTTAGTGAATATTACTATTCAATATTTCCAAGTCTAAATCCTTGTGTTTCATCATTTTACTCTGGCTATCACTTAACTAATAGTATAAATTATAATTACTGAATTAATCAACCTTTTCCCCAGTCATTATAACAGCTATTCAATAATATATCCAAATATATATTTTATTCTTTAGACTTTTTTTCCTTATTTACAGTGAGGTAAAAGACAGAGAAAATAAGGGCTATATTAGCTGTGTATCTGTCCTATATCTCAGAATCAAAGTGTGGAGAAGAAACATATAGGAAATTATATATTTAAAGCAGCAAAAGGACACATTTTTCCTTCCTACCTGAAGCTTTTTGGTCTCTTCGTCCTTCAAGTTGACTTCTTCCTGGATCCTGTGTACTTCCTCCTGTTTGGTGCGGATCTCTTCCTCTAGTTTGAGCTTCTCTTCTGCTTCCATTTCCTTTGCCTGTTCGAGACGGACCATCATGTCGTGGAGTTCCTGCTGCTTGTTCTCAAGCTCTTCCTTGGCTGCCTGCAACTGTCTCAGCTGTTCTTCCAGTCGTCGGATGGTTTCCTGTGCTTCCACCAACTCCTTCTGCCTCCTCTCCATCTCCTCTTGCATTGACTTCAAGCGTTCTTCATATTCTTTCTGCTTCTTCTCTGCCTCCTCACGAAGAGCAATTTCTCTTGCCAGCTTTTCTCTGATGTTAAGAAAGAAACAAGGACTTGAAACCTGAACTTCTGTGGTAATCAAACCATATATATGACAAAACTACACAAGTTAGAAAAAATTACTTTATATCTGTTAAAGCAGAAAACATAACATATTTCTTTTGACAGATGAACTTGCACAGATGAATGCAAGCCCTTCTGACAACTAACCTTTCTTGCTGCTTTGCTAACTTCTCCTCACGAGCTTGTGCCTTCATTTGCTGGACCTCGATGGTGTCTGGCTTGCGGCGACGCATGTACAACTCGTGGTTGCCCATGCAGAGAGCAAGGATACGCTTGTTGATGCGTAAACGAGGTGCAAAGAAGACAAAATCTGGGGCTTTCTTGTCAATGGGTTTGATGACGAATTTACGGTCGTTGAAGGAAATATTTCTGATTTCAGACCATGGGAAGCCAATCTTAGGAGTTAACCTGAAATTCAAAAATTATATGAATCTTCCCACTTCATTTAATCTCAAACATACTTAGTACCATTACTGACATAATAAACTGCATCTTGCAACCATGCTTCTAAAATTCAACATCTCTTCTAAACTTACTTATCATCCTTTTCATAGATATTCAGACCCAGAGCATCAACGCCTAGCCACAGCTCTGTACCCTTCTTGTTCTTGATGTCAAAGTAATTAACTCCATACATCTCCAGATCCTGTGCCAATTTAAGGTATTCCATCATGGCATCCTCTCTGAAACAGGAAAAGTAAGGTATGTAGTTATATAGAGGAAATAATAATCATAGTGAAAATATAGGAAAGAATAGCATGATATCTCTCTCAACAGCAAAGAAATATTAATAGTGAAGCAGGCAAAATAGTAAATATTATGTTATTACAATTCTCTGTATAGCATTCATTAAAATATTTAAAATGCTATTTCAGCCTTTAATTTTTAAATCTACAAAAAGAAAAAAAAAAGAGAGAAAGAGAAGACTGCAATAAAGCAGAGAGAGAGAGAGAGAGAGAGAGAGAGAGAGAGAGAGAGAGAGAGAGAGAGAGAGAGAGAGAGAGAGAGAGAGAGAGAGAGAGAGAGAGAGAGAGAGAGAGAGAGAGAGAGAGAGAAATCTTGATATCCTCTACCTGAGCATGCCCTTGTGTTCATGGTACCAGGTGATTATCCTCTCTTCCCACTCCTCACGTGTCAGCTTGTGTTGGTCCATGACACGCTGGGGCAGTAACCGGTCATTTGCCAGGAAGCCGGGTTTGTGAAGGTCTGAGCCATGGTCTCCATACTTGGCTTGCACTGCATATGAAGCCAGGAGCACTGAGGTCTCCGGGGGGCAGTAGATGTCATCGCTCAGGATAGCATTCTTCACTTGCAGGTAGAACAGGCGCTGTGGGGCAAAAATTATATTTCTGTTGAATATTTCCCAGTAAGGTTTTGATGTTCATGCAGAGAATGAGACCCATTTCTAAATATGAATTTGATGTAAATCTTGACAAATATATTAAGAAGAATGAAGTATGACCTATAAATACAGTTTGTTAGCAATTCTGAAAAGAACTTGAAAATTCTATTACTGGTATCTATCATTATAGCCAAAATGTAAGAATCCCATTTAACAACAAATAAACATACAGACAGTGAAACAATAATGGAAAGAAAAAGAATAAAATAAAATAAAACAACAGAACATTAAACAGAAAAACACATTGAACTAAACTAATTTAATCTAAGCTTAAAGGCAAAACAAACACCAATAACAATTCTCCCACTGCCCAAATATTGCCCAAATCTCTTCCATCTGAAGTCTCCCGTCTCATGAGCCCTTACCAGTGTAATGTCCTGGATGATCTCCTCAGCCACATCCTCTGGGTAGAACTTGGCTCTGAATTTGAACTGCAGTGGCGTCTCCTTCTTGACATCTTGTGAGAGAACCTGCGGATAACATAAGAAGATATTAGTTTGCTATTCCAAGAAAAAAAACTGCTGCTTTCATATGCTGTTAAAAGGATGTTTTATTGATACATTGTACATACATAAATATATCTGCAGTTGTCTGAAGTGAGTATGAAGGTAACAAGTGGATTAGATATTAGAATGCAAAGGTGACAAAAAGGACAAATTACATTTCAAATATTGTATGCAATAATATTGCACATTCAAGTTGTAACTGTGACCACAATTTGTGTATGTAAAGGAGTTGTAGTGGTGTATATAAATAAAGCACTATTAATATTTATAAAAAAATAACAGAGGAAATGTATCACTTTCCAAGGTATAAATGCCTTGGAAAGCCAATTTTTTATTCCATTTAATAATGTAATCTGCAAGTTAGAGAAACAAGACCACTTAAAATTAATAAATTCAACAAAGGTCAGCAACAGTTTATGATATCTAACCCTAACAAGAAAGCCACAATTCATTAAGCAAAAACTCTAGGATCATCTCCCACAGAAGATACAAATAAAAATATCAATCATCTTTTTCAGCAAAAAACAAAAATAACAAACCACAGAAAATGTAACATTCTATTGGCCCAAAAACCCATAAATCATAGAAATTACAGATTCCTTTTATGGTGAACAATTTAACATAAGCCCTAAAAATGAAGCCTCCTTGCCAAGAAAAGATATGATCCACAGGAGCAGCCAAGTGCGAGACACAGCCATGCATACAGTGCTGCGGTAATTGAAGTTCACAACCACTAGAGCTGTGGGAGAACAAAGGCTGTTTATCTACAATCTCCTCCATTGTTCTGTATGCAGCATAAACACCACCCTTGTAACCTTGGACACTTGAGTTGACTTTAGCCCTCACTTCTGCCCATTATGACACCTGTTAAGAACTCATGTATGGGCCAAAAACGGAAAAGAACTGCTCTTTAAAAGGAAGAAACCATTGTGCCACTAGAGAAGGTTTTGCAGTCTCTAATTAGTTACTGTAAGGACTCTTTCAATTGTTTTAAACACACTTGTTTAGGAATAGTAAACTTTCATAATAAGTTTTCTATTCCTCAGCTCTGACTGATAAAATAATACATGTGCAAATGTTTGAAAAAAACATACAACACACATAATGCATAAAAAATTAATTTCCAGTTCCATATACCAGTTGGTGCACCATGCATTTTTTTCATAACATTGTATCTACACAATTTTGTGTTAGAAGCAGGAACAGTCAGTATACACTTTCCTTGCACACAACCAAATAAAAAAGAATAAATGCCTTATACCATTCCTTTTCCTTTCCCTTAATCTTCTCCAAAGTGCCCTGTACTAGACAAATCAATAATGTATTGACATCTGTAAACCATGTTAATATCTGTAATTTGAACCTATCCATGTTGGAAACAAGGTACTAATGGATAAAATACAGCAATACGAACATATAAAGCATTAACTTTTTCTCTAATTCATAATATCCCTTATAATAATTTTTTAATCACTTTAAACACTTTTCCTCAATTGCATCTTTCTATATTTTCCCTGTCATCAGAGCAAATAAGATTACAGATGCACACAAAAAAGACAAAAAGGGGAAAAAAAAAGCTAACATTGGCCAACTTCCCTAAACTAGAAACTAATAGATGTGAACCAATCAAACAAAGCTTGTGACATCCACAGAGATAACTTTCCTCTAATAACAAACATACCTTTGTCAAAGATTTGAACTTCTGAAAAAGGAATTAGCAGTAAGTTCTAAGAAATGTTATTAATCAAAAACTGTGTATCTGTGCGTTTATGAAAGTTAGTGCAAAGTACAGAAAACAAAAATTAATTGACATAATATGACTAAGTACATTTTAAAACTCACTTAATATCCACATTCTAGGGACTATCTCTATCATTCTCCAAATAAACATCTCAAAATACACATTCCCCCGAGTCACATATAACTCGCCTATTCAACTTAACTGCCATACTTCTGAGGATTACATTTCTGAGTAGCAACACACCTACTTACATATTTATCCAAAAAATTATCTGGCTGATTTTGCAATCAATACTGTAGGGATAAAATATCCTAAATCTAAACTTGTGACAAAGCTATAACTGCAGTTTGAATAAAAGTATTCATCTAATAACTGCAGTACTACAATAATTACAGATGTTACAGGAAGCACAAGAAAAGGACACAAGGACTACTATTTCTTCATAAGATAGCGCATACACCCTACTTTATCATAGCCTGTACATAAAATTATATTCAAAATTACTGCAGGAATAAAACTACCCAAGCCTAAAACAAGGGCCTTTTTCTCTGGCAGTTTGTGCTTCTGACTGTCTACAGTCTTACCCAGTGTACATTAAACTTAGTTTTGAACTTAGTCCTTGGGAATCGCCATAAGTAGTATCCAACACGCCAGGTTAGACTCTGTTGGCGAAGACATTTGTTAGCCAATGAAGCTGGTATTAGGTTTAAGAGCATCAATTAATTTTCTCTAACAAGGTACTCCGCTGTCTCCACCAGGTACCTTGATCAACAATCAAAGCACATAAAGCCAGTGATAAACAACACCAGAAATCCCCTTCTAAGCCAACATTCAAGATGAAAATAAATTGGTAAGCAATGATTCATAAAATACTACTTCTGAAGAAACTTCAGCACATTTTTTCTTTTCTTTTTTTTTGACTTTCAAATCCTAGTTTCTGAAATAACCCATGCAGAATAACCAAAAAACTAGCACACACCAAAGCAAAAGAGAAGCAAAAGAAAATAGCTATACATCTGAACAAACTCACATTTATACATACATAAATATGAGGAGAAACAACATACACACAGCGACAATTTTGCAAAGATGGCAAGCAGACAATCTGATGTAGCATAAACTGAATTATAGTAATACCCAATGTCCATATAAAAAATTGATATCAAAATCTTGAAAAATGAAATCATAATACACTAGCTCTGCAAACATCACAATAAATCTCTTCCCAAGTAGAATTACTTGAGATGATGGATGTAAGGGATGAGGCTAAATCACGCAAAGAAAATTATACTAAACTGAATAAAATTGCATAAGTTTCACATTTTATGATTAAAAAGAATGAAGGGAGTATGGTCAGAACTTTTATATTAAAAAAATAAATAAATAAATAAATAAATAAAATAAATAAATAAATAAAATGATATGTTACTCTTGACATTCTTTATGAAGTTGAATCGATAAATAATGACAATGATAATAAAAACAATAAATACTCAATCATTTCTTTAAACTTTTGGTAGTAATGTAAGAGAAATAAATCCATCTTTCATGAAATTATAAATACTATCAAAAATCCACTGTATGTCTGAATTTTTAATGCCTATTTGCTTTTCTTTTCCTAACAGTCAAACAAGACAGAACTTGTAATATTAATAACAATTCAAAAACAATGGATACCAAACTTTAAACTCATTCACATAACCCTGTACATAGTCTGCAAATTGACTTGTCAACATAAATGGCCAACAAACTGTCATTCCCCCTTTACTAGTAAATTATTCCAGACCTCAAGCACTATCCCTATTACAAGATCATTAATATACACTTCATTAAATACTCATTAGAGCTTCTAAATTCCCCAATGGACCATCAGCTCCCCTCGGCCACATGGAGGGCACTGTGTCACATGCACTTGCCAATACTGGTGACAAGACATTGTAGGACAGCTAATGAAAATAGAGACCATAATATATTGCAACAATTAGGAAGGGGCCTTTGTTGTGTAGTCATATAGCTGTGCATGAAGAGGACAGTGCTAACTTGACATAAAACAATAGGAGTAATTATGACATGATGCATTTCAGACAGTAAGACAGTAATGCTGATATCATATGTGTGTGTTTCAAGACACAGGATATTTACAAACTTTTGTCGATTTATAATTATTTATAAGGATAAAAATAAGGGCAGCTGAAAAAATCATTATAGTTGTAGACTTAGCAATTAAAATAATGAAGTATTACTAAGTCATGTAACTGATTCGATTACTTTAGCCTTCAAAACTTCAAGACTAATACTAATCTTTTCTTATTTGAAAATAACCTGCATTTTTTCATATTTCTGATTTTATTTTGATATGCATAACAACCATCCTGATCATAAATGCAATTACTAAAAAATTATTATCTACAATATAGCATTTACTGTCTTTCATTATGAAACATCAACTCTCTACAGAAGTGTTATCTTCAAACTCATAACTCTTATGTTAAAAACACTATAAAATAATACAGTAATATATCTCAAACTATCAAAGACTTCCCAAGCATAAACACAACCATAAACATAGATATAGACAAACATATGAGTGATATCTTTCTTTCTCACTCTCTCACTCCCTCACTCACTCACTCACTCACTCTCACACTCCCTTCACTTACTCCCTCACATACACACAAACACATACACAAACCTCATCACCCCCCCTCTCCAAATCTCTAGAAATAAACATCAACATGACAAAGCAAACCCCAGCCCCTCCCCTCCCCCTTCTCATTTCCACAACTCATGCCTCATCATGTGCCATTCCCTTCCCTTGTTCTAATAAGCCTAACTCACAGCAAGAGATACATCCAATGACACTTTGACCAAACAAGGTTTCTTATGCCAAAAAATTATTCCATCTGTGTCACATCCTCTTTACAAGCAATGTGATTACTGATGTCTAGGGATTCTGTTTGACTTGAGAGATTTAAAACCTAAAAAAAGATAATATAATCATTATAATAATAATAATAATAATAATAATAATAATAATAATAATAAAAACAATATCATGATGAATGCTAAGCCATAAGGTAAATTTGTAAACATGGCTATCTTACATAGTCTTATTAATGGTCTTTTAGAAGATAGAAGAACTAATACTGAGCATCAATATGGTGCTATAATGATACTCTGTGTGTGTGTGTGTGTGTGTGTGTGTGTGTGTGTGTGTGTGTGTGTGTGTGTGTGTGTGTGTGTGTGTGTGTGTGTGTGTGTGTGTGTGTGAGAGAGAGAGAGAGAGAGAGAGAGAGAGAGAGAGAGAGAGAGAGAGAGAGAGAGAGAGAGAGAGAGAGAGAGAGAGAGAGAGAGAGAGAGAGCGGGCGCATATACCTACGTGAGCATGCATGCCTTTCCCTCCTCCTTAAAAAGCAAGTACTCCTGCCCTAGTCCCCACTGCAACAAACAACCCCTCAAGACCCCGCCCCGAGTACGTTAACGCTACCACCTTCTCGCGGCGGCACCTGCGTGATCCCATGACAGCCTTCGACTCATGGCGCCCATTGTCAAGGCATCCCCACGATGACCGCCGCACTTGTTTGTTCCTTTCCCTTCGATGGCTCCCGTGAGCCCCAAGGCCGTCCCCGTAATTCTTGCTTAAAGAAGAGGAAGCCCGACGTGTTTACCCCTTCAGTCTTTTGTTTCCTCAAGGACGGGCTATGGACAATCAAGTTATCAACAATGATTCGCTCTCGCTCTCGCTCTTTCTCTCTCGCTCTATTCCAATCATTACCACCCTCCTCTATCCTCATTCGTAATTGTACCCATCCTTTCACCATCTTCGCTTTCGACTGTAATAAAACGGCGTCAATTACGACTTCGTTTTAAACGTCAATCACAAACATAAAGAGCCGGAGTTTCGAAAGGCTACTGAATACGTACCGCGGAAAACGTATTCAAAAAGCTTCTAGTAAAGAAAGACAAACAAATAATCCAACAAAATACGATGAATGATGATATCTAAACATGGGATTTCTCATACCACACCAATTTTCACCTACCAACCAAACCTACAACACTAAGGTGCTGAATAGCCTAATGAATTTGTTACCTGACGTAGGTGACAAATAAAACCCGGATATCATATTGTACAGACTTTGTTGATCCAAAATAACCTTGAGGGTTATTTCGTCGGAAGTTTTCCTAAAACACTAACACTATTCAGGGATAAGAAATGTTGAGGGTTCTATTCTGGGAGGCACCAGCGTTCTAAACATAAAACTTCAAAGAGCACACACCATCAAGCGCGGGATAAAAGGATGATTTACAAAAATGTGCCTGCTTGCTGTACAGAGCTAATTTTGAAATGAACTTTAAAACATTAAACACTATTATGCTCTTTGCACGCACTGAATTTCCTTCAATAACATACACAGTTTATAGTACGTTATAGGCGCCAAGTTGCGTACTGATGCAAACATGGCAAAACTAGTTTCACTACCGAGAGAGAGAGAGAGAGAGAGAGAGAGAGAGAGAGAGAGAGAGAGAGAGAGAGAGAGAGAGAGAGAGAGAGAGAGAGAGAGAGAGAGAGGGGGGGGGGGGGAGAGGGAGAGGGAGAGGGAGAGGGAGAGGGAGAGGGAGAGGGAGAGGGAGAGGGAGAGGGAGAGGGAGAGGGAGAGGGAGAGGGAGAGGGAGAGGGAGAGGGAGAGAGAGAGAGAGAGAGAGAGAGAGAGAGAGAGAGAGAGAGAGAGAGAGAGAGAGAGAGAGAGAGAGAGAGAGAGAGAGAGAGAGAGAGAGAGAGAGACCGGACCTTAAACACACTCGTGTTACCGGAGTTAAGCAGCAAGTATCGAAGCTTCACCGAGCCCTCATAAACCAATATTCGAGAGCCACAACCAGGGAGGAGGAGTAGAAAAAAATAAAATTGGGGTTTCTAGCCATCTGGGGAAAGGTAGGAGGGGCATTTGCAAGCCCTGCAACATGCACTTCCTTAACTCTGTCATTTTGCAGAATAGAAAATAGCAATCTGCACGCTCAACACACGAAACAAGCGAAAAGAAATGAAGTAAATGCCACGGTGCGCATACATAATGTAATTTTATAAACATGGAAAAGTGCCCAACGTGGTCAGCACAGGATGTGGGAAAGCTGAGTGGCACTCCTGTGGCCACTTGACAATCACACTCATACACACATTTCCTGAAGATGGGTGTGTGTATGAGTGTGCGTGTGAGTGGATTAAATACGTGGCCAGTGTATGTGTGTGTGTGTTTGTTTTTGTTTTTGTTTGTGTGTTTGTGTGTGTGTGTGTGTGTGTGTGTGTGTGTGTGTGTGTGTGTGTGTGTGTGTGTGTGTGTGTGTGTGTGTGTGTGTGTGTGTGTGTGTGTGTGTTTTGTGTGTGTGTGTGTGTTTTGTGTGTGTGTGTGTGTTTTGTGTGTGTGTGTGTGTTTTGTGTGTGTGTGTGTGTTTGCGTGCGTGTGCGTGTGTGTGTTTGCGTGCGTGTGCGTGTGTGTGTTAAGACACGTAAAAATTCCCATGTGCACACACTCATGCCTGGCTATCTCACGTATCTGTAGATCCCGGGCGGTCACATGCATGACTGCATACACAAGCAGCAACGGTAAGGTGCTGAAGCGCAAGCAATTAGTTCCTCCTAAAAAAGTTGACACTTGTTCCTCGGCTGGCTGTAGTAGGGAGCTCAAGGGAAACTTTCAAGTGATCATTAACAGGGAAGTAAACAAGGTAGAAAAGAGAGAGAAGGAAGTGGGAGGACAGCGAGTGTTGAGGGGGTGAGAGAGAGATAATGAAGGAGGAAGAAGGGAGGGTTTCATGAAGGAGAAGAAAAATAAACAGAGAAAGAAGAAGAGTGTGAAAGGGCAGGCGAGCGAGCGAGCGAGCGAGAGAGAGAGGGAATGGAGGATGATGAAGGAGAAAGAGAGAAAGAGAGAAAGAGAGAAAGAGAGAGAGAGAGAGAGAGAGAGAGAGATAAGAGAGAGAGAGAGAGAGAGAGAGAGAGAGAGAGAGAGAGAGAGAGAGAGAGAGAGAGAGAGAGAGAGAGAGAGAGAGAGAGAGAGAGAGAGGGGGGGGGGAGAGAGAGGGAGAGAGAGGGAGAGAGAGACAGAGGGAGACAGAGACAGAGGGAGACAGAGACAGAGACAGAGGGAGAGAGACAGAGACAGAGGGAGACAGAGACAGAGGGAGACAGAGACAGAGACAGAGGGAGAGAGACAGAGGGAGACAGAGACAGAGGGAGACAGAGACAGAGACAGACAAGAGAAAGAAAGCACACAAAACGAAAAAATAAAATAAACAATAAAAAATAAATAAACTGGACACATTACCCGCTTGTTGAGCTTGAGCCACGTGGTGTAGCCCTTGGAGTCCACGTACTGCAGGCCGAAGAACCAGATCTCCCGGAGGCCGATGGTCTTCACCACCTGATCGAACAGCTGTTTGCCGGTGGTGTTGGGCTGGATCGCGAACTCCAGCTCCGCGTCCATGGTCGTAACCCGCACATTTACCTATTGGGAAGGAAAAAAATAAGGATGCTTTTAAAAAAAAGGAAATTATAAACGTAGATGACAAATGTAAAGGAAAATCTAGTTCAGGAAATAAAGTTGAAATGTAAAATCGATCGTAAGATGAAAGTTATACGAAAAAGAATCAGAAACTGAAGTAAATCAATCAATCAATCAATAAATCATCTATAGACTCAAAAGGAAAATAAGAAGACATTTCCGAAACAACACAAAGCCACCTGAAACTAATACAAGGCCCACTGGATCTGGCTTTCCAAACGGAGAAACACAAACAACCGATTGCACTTTGCCTAACAAGTGCCTCCCCCCTGCTCCATCAATACAATATACAATCCCCCTGTGCAGGGTTGCAATTGCAATACATTCGCTCGTTGCAAGGAAGGAATGCCTTTGTCGCTGCCACAAAAGGGAGGTAGGGATTTCCTGCTTCCACCACAACTCCGCGGCAGAGAACGACGCAATACGGACGCGAAATGGCAATAACAATAACAATTACAATAACAATAATAATAACAATAACAACAATAATAATAAAAGCGATGATGATAATTCCAACAATAATGATAATCATTCAATAACATTTAATGATAATCATTCAAAAATATACAACCAAAATAATAGCCAATAATATCTAGCAACAAAATACAACAACAACGATAATAGTAACAACAACCATGACAACAATAACAATTATTGAAAAAAAAAAAAAACATCATTCCTAACAACGTGAATACAAAATGCAAACAAAAACGACAAAAAAAAAAAAAACATAAAAAAATAAACCCTCACCATCAAAACTATTCACCATACAGACCACACCAGAAGCCGCCGTACTCCGCGAACTCACACCCATGTTTCCCTCCCCTTTACATAAAGGCTAAAACTCTCCAGCAACTCCTTAAGCATATTCACAGCCACGCACAGTCAAGTATTAGTCATCAAATAAATCCTAACAGGTAATCGATGAGTGGAAGACATTCCATTTAATCTTTGGGATATATTTAGACTTGATGTCTTTGCCCAAAGGTTAAATTTGGAAGGGACAGGGGTCGCATAACTCGAATTATTAATGGTAAATGATGAGGTATAAAGGAAGAATGTGGAAGCAGTATAGCTATGAACAAAATAATAATAATAATAATGATAAAATTCTAGATAAAAAATACCATTATAATAATAAAAGTAATGCTGGTAATGATGATCAGAAGAATATGCTAAAAACATTAATACTGACACGTATAACCAAGAACATGCTCAGCAATAACAAAAAAATAATAATAACTAAAAAATAAAATAAAATAAATATATAAAATAAATAAACATAAAAATAAACAAACTAAACAAGTCTCATCCCTAATCCTACGCATCTTAGGGCATCCTTCCCGACGCATCCGCCGAATCACGAAGGATTTCCAGCAGCAGCAGGAGGCTCACACGACGCCGCTCATCCCTCCCTCCTAGGAAGGACTTGCTGGATAGTCCTTCCTGACCCACTTTTCCCCCCCAAGAGGAACAAATCGTCTTAATTCTTGTCTCGTTCCTGTGTCCGTCTTTCACTTTCTCTTGTTCTATTTTTGTCGGTCTACCTGTCTCTCTTATTTTCGTTAGGTCTGTCCTCCGCTCTTGACTTTTGTTGTCTTATTTTTTTTCTTCTCTGTGTGTCAGTCTGTTTGTCTCTCTCTCTTTCTTCCATTTCACTCTTCATTTCCTTTCCCCCTATCCATTTCTTTGTTTAAAATCTAAGAAATGAAAATAAAAGAGAGAGAGAACGAAAGAGGGAAGGTAAAGCATACGAGATTACAAGATTACGATAGAGCGAACGAGGGGAGAATAACAGGACGAGAGAAGGATAAAGGAGCGGACAAGGGAGAGGGGGGGAGAGAGGAGGTAGAGGGGAGAGGGGAGATGGGGGGGGAGGGGAGGGGAGGGGAGGGGAGGGGAGGGGAGAGGGGAGGGGAGGGGAGGGGAGAGGGGAGGGGAGGGGAGGGGAGGGGAGAGGAGAGAGGAGGTAGAGGGTAGAGGGGGAGGGGGAGAGGGAGTGGCGAGAAAGGACGGGAGGGGTGGACGACATAAGAGGGAATGGGCGCATGGCCAGGGGGAGGGGGGTTGGTAGTGGAGGCATTTCCGTCTCCTCAAGGTCACCAGGGAAAACCGTTAATAATTAAGTTCAAGCTTCTCCACTTCTCATAACCTCTTTTCTTCTCTGCGAATCCGACGCACGAGCTCGTTCCTTGGATGAAAGAGGAGAAAGAAGTGCGAGGAGATAAACGAAAGGAAAAGGAGGAGGAGAGGGAGGAGGAGGAGGACAAGGAGGAGAGTGGAGAGGGGCGAAGAGAGAGGGGGAGGGAGGGATAGGGAGAGGGAGGGAGAGGGAGAGGGAGAGGGAGGGAGAGGGAGGGAGAGGGATAGGGAGAGAGGGAGGGAGGGGGAGGGAGGGAGGGAGAGGGAGAGAGAGGGAGGGTGAGAGAGAGAGAGAGAGAGAGAGAGAGAGAGAGAGAGAGAGAGAGAGAGAGAGAGAGAGAGAGAGAGAGAGAGAGAGAGAGAGAGAGAGAGAGACGGTGCAACTCGTATCAACGTATCTACTCGTTTGATAATTAAATCACAACGTGTTACTAGAAGTGTTACTAGAGTGACAGATTTAGTTTGACATTAGTTAAAATGACACCAGTGATATGGATATCGAGCAATTGTGTCTTCAGTATGGAGTAAATGTGACATTAACACGTTTGTATGACATCAGTATGGAAAATGACATGAGTAGGGCATAGAAAGGCCTCTACGCCTGCACCACTGCGGTGTGATCTGAATGCGCGCTGCCTGAACCTGATTAAACTGCATTGCACTTGTATGACTTTAACCACCGTCATCATCCCAAACAATCGAACACCTCTGGCAAAATTTCCAAGTCGTTAAGTTAATTCGGTATTAAAAATAGATAATAATAAAAACTGTTTTCTGTCCGTAATGAAATCTCATGCAAATATATTACGTCCGTAAATGTTCATCCTGAAATAAAATTCTCCAGATTCAGCCGGAGGGGGGCACTCAAGATGTCAAGATTTTATCCTTGACACTTGACTTCATGGCGCAACATGCTCTTAGGAAGGGGCGGAAGGTGAGGCAAGGTGAAGCGAGAGGACAGAGGAGAGGAGAGGAGGAGAGAAGTGAGAAGAGAGGAGAATTCTCTATGAATTCATCCCCTTGTTCGGTTACGAAATAAAGAATACTCGGCAGAAAAAAAAAACATTGACATACACAACTAAAGATATATGCATCATTAAAAGCAAACAAATGAACAATTCTCACACCTAAATGAATCCCTAATAAATAAACAAAGAAACCCCCCCTCCCTTTACACGCACACAAGCCTAGCTACCCGAATCCGCTCTTCCCGCCCCAGGCCCTCCCGCCCCAGGCCCACCCCCCACCATCGCCCTCATCGATGCATCTCCCGCAGGAGGCTCCGCGGAATGAGTTAGCGGCCGCGAACACACGACCGCGAACGACGCCTTCCCCCCAAACCCGCGAAAATATACACTCCTAAAACATATGCAAGGCGGACAGCTGGCTAACGGCGGCGTCTGCAAACAGCATGCGAGGAACATCTGCGAGATGAAGGGAAGCACCCGGAGGGGGATGGGGAAGGAAGGGGAGGGGAAAGGGGAGGGGGAAGGGAAGTATGGAATGGGGGCAGGAGGGGGAGGTAGGGAGAGGAGGAGGAGAAGAGAGAAAAAGAAAGATGCGTGGGAGTACGAGCACTGTTATGTCCGCCCCATGATAGCTAAGATAACGATTACGATGATCGATGAACGCAAAAGAAAACGAAGGTGACGATAATGACAGAAAAACCGGCGATGCTGACGGTACGGACGGCCATGGTGATGCAGCCACGTGAGAGTGAGTCATGTCTGGGAACCGTCATCAAGCTGCATCTCAACCTCTTCCTCCTGTTCGCGCTCCATCACACCAACCGCTTAACTAAACGACCGGGGGAGGGTCAGTTAACTCATTAGCTAGACAACTCTATTTGTATATTGCGTTTATATATGTCTAGGTTTCTCGAATGTATAATGCGTTTATATATGTCTAGGTTTCTCGAATGTATAATGCGTTTATACATGTCTAGGTTTCTCGAATGTATAATGCGTTTATACATGTCTAGGTTTCTCGAATGTATAATGCGTTTATATATGTCTAGGTTTCTCGAATGTATAATGCGTTTATATATGTCTAGGTTTCTCGAATGTATAATGCGTTTATATGTCTAGGTTTCTCGAATGTATAATGCGTTTATATATGTCTAGGTTTCTCGAATATATAATGCGTTTATATATGTCTAGGTTTCTCGAATGTATAATGCGTTTATATATGTCTAGGTTTCTCGAAAGCCAGAATCAATATAGTAGAAGTGATAATCTTTTCCAAGTTCCAGTTACTAGTTTTTACTTTACAGGGCATGGCCATGGGAGCGGATGTGTTCGTACAAAATAAAAAGGAAATGCAATAACACTTATTCGACCTTTGCTTACCAATGTTACAGACTAGATGCAAATTGCCCAAGAAAAAATCCCTCGTTATTTCCAAGGGCGATGGCAAAGGTTACATCTTTTTCTAATGTCCCTCGATTGTGTAACCCAAAAAATAACAATGCTTTAAAAAATCGGATCCCGAAAGGGGTTTCGTGTCGAACAAAAGCTGGTAGACGAGGGAATCTCCTGTGACAATACCTGTTCCGCCCCCGAAGGCATTGACAATACTTGTGTACGTCCACGCTTTTGCTTTTACGTCAAAGGCAGACAGTTACACACACACACAGAGCCGTTCCCGCCCTCTGCAGCCGTCACGAATACCTGCGCCACGAAGCAGAACGCGTTCCTTGTTCCTTCGTTCGTCCGCCTAACGACACTTCCTTGTCACGAGCGGCAACATCTGCTGCATCTGTGTCACGCAAACCCCGAACAGGGATCTCTGTCTGTTGTGGT